ATTTGATTCCATTGCCAAATGATGAATTGGTTCACAAGGATGCTAATGACAAGTTAAAGGCCATGTTGAAACTACACCAACAAGTTCGTGTGAAGATTGAAGCCGTGAATGAGGTGTACAAACAGAATTCCAACATGCATAGGAAACCACGTGTCTTTCAAGATGGTGACTTGGTGTAGGTGCATCTAAGGAAAGAACGTTATCTGAACAAAAGGAAGAACAAAATTTAATGCCAATAGTTGAAGGTCCTTACAAAGTTGTGTCACATGTCAATGATAATGCTTATAAGGTGGATTTGGGTGGAGACCATGGAGTGCGTGCTACATTTAATTTGGGAGACCTTTCACCTTATCTTGTTGAGGATGGCCTTGATGAATTGAGTTCATTTCATTTCAAAGGGGAATGGGATGATCCATGCAAGGATCCTGAAAGCCCAAGGTGATGGATTAGTGATTACTAGTAGGCTAGAAGGTGGTTTGGGCTCAATGATTGGGTTGTGCATGGTAATTTACGAATTGAATTAGGGTCGCATGAAGGCAAGGGCAACATTTTAAAGGCTTCAATTAGTGCTCAAAATCGTTACTTTTTTCTTCATAAAGCCTCCTAGCCATTTTTGATACTCTTTGGTGGATTAGGGTTACCCTTTAATGCTTCTTATGGCTTCTAAATGGAGCATGGACGTTTTTTTCATTCATTAGTGTGTCAGACATTTATTTGTGTGGTTTCATGAGTTTCTTTAATTTTCATTATTAGTTTTACTCGGTAGTTGGTTGGGTGGCATGTAACAACCAACTTTGTAATAAAGGCTTCATATAAGCCATTTTTATGCATGGAAAAAAGAGATAGATAAATTTTAATCAAAAGAACCTTTGTTCACTTTGAATTATAGTTATAGTTCACTACTTGTCATAGTCGACACGTGTTCTTGACTTGATACGCATTCAATCAAATATGTCTATGATTGTATTCACCGGTATGCAACTTAGTTGGTCTTGATTTGTTACTAATCTATCCATTTCTTCCCATACACGTATCATTTGTGGCTGTTATTCTAGCCTAATTTACCTACACACAACCCTACTCACTTAATCAAGCCAATAAAGGCATCAAAAGGCAATCACCTTTGTGTCCCTAAACGTGTAATACGAAAGTTGCTGATTCGTGAAGCTCATGGTGGTGGTTTGGCGGGTCTTTTTTCCATTACCAAAACTTTGGAGGTGCTTTAAGAACATTTCTTTTTGGCCTAAGATGTTGGGGATGTAACCAACATAGTGGGCAAGTCTGTTACATGTCAGATGACTTTGCCGGTTCCTATTCGTCCTTGGGAAGATGTGTCAATGGAATTCATTTTGGATTTCCCTAGAACTCCAAGGGGGAAGGATTCCATTATAGTGGTGGTGGAAAGGTTTTCAAAAATGGCTCACTTTGTGCCATGTGATAAAACCAATGATGCATCTAATGTGTCTGATTTGTACATTAAAGAGGTGGTTCGCTTGCATATTATTCCTAAAACTATTGTTTCTGATATGGATTCCATGGTTTTGAGTTACTTTTGGATCACTTTGTGGAGGAAAGTTGGTACTTTGTTACTTTTGAGTACATCCCATCATCTACAAACTGATGGGAAAACGAAGATGACTGATAGAACTTTGGGTACGTTGTTGAGGGGGTTGGTTAGCAAAACTCAAAAACATTTGGACATTAAACTTGCACATGCTGAGTTTGCCAGCAATCGTTCTCCTACTTATGCTACAGGTCACTCTCCTTTTGAAGTGGTGTACTATGTGAATCCTTACATGCCTTTGGATTTGATTCCATTGCCAAATGATGAATTGGTTCACAAGGATGCTAATGACAAGTTAAAGGCCATGTTGAAACTACACCAACAAGTTCGTGTGAAGATTGAAGCCGTGAATGAGGTGTACAAACAGAATTCCAACATGCATAGGAAACCACGTGTCTTTCAAGATGGTGACTTGGTGTAGGTGCATCTAAGGAAAGAACGTTATCTGAACAAAAGGAAGAACAAAATTTAATGCCAATAGCTGAAGGTCCTTACAAAGTGGTGTCACATATCAATGATAATGCTTATAAGGTGGATTTGTGAGGAAACCATGGAGTGCGTGCTACCTTTAATTTGGGAGACCTTTCACCTTATCTTGTTTCTTTTTTGGAAAAAGCCAAAGCTCAGCAAACTTTATTAAAAAAATAAAAGAATACAACCAAAAACCAAAAAAACAAAACCACCCCTAACGAGTCCAACCAATCCATAACTAACTACCAAGCCATTTCTTAATCCTCATATAACCACCTACTTTACCCCAAATACCCTTACAAGTCCTAGAATTAGTCCATAGACTTATTTTATGTGGGAAAAAAGGTAACTTCAACCCCTTGCACCACCAAACCCACATCATACCAAAAAAGCTAATGCTAGGGGAAAGGTCCTTAAAAAAACCCACTGTCCAATAAACTAATCCTAAGACCCAACCCAACAACCAATACAAACCAATTAAACTACCAAAAACACTAAATTTAACAAAATTATAACTACACAACTCTCCATCCCTATGAATAAAGAGCAACCATAAGGTCTCATTCCAGCTGCTATTCCACTGCTTCCAGCAATCAGCCCTCCATCTTTTACTTCTCAGCCAACCAATCCAAGTCTTGCTCTTACAGATCCTATAAAAAGGACTCCTACTCTTCCCAGGCAGTAGAAACAGCGAGATGCACCTGTACATTATATTCAACCAAAAAACAGGCAACAAAACCCACAAACCCAACATCAATGTCAATCAGTTGCATTCTAGACATGGCATCAATCACATGTCTAGGAAACTCCATTCGGATAATCTCACTAAGGATCATATCCAAATAGAATTCCCCAATGGTACAAGTCACAAAAATTGAAAGCAAGCTTCCAATTATGTAACAAAAGTCGTCAATTCCTTTATGAATAAGAATTTCCACAACAATCTTTCTCCAAATATCCCTTTCAAACAACCCACAGCCCATTCTCACAATCTCCCTAATCCACTTCCACTTCACAAAAACCACACAGCTATCTATTATCATCATTATCATTCCCCTTATTACTCCTAGAAATCCCATTAATACCCCACTTTTTATACACCTCCTGATTAACCACATTATCAATAACTTCCAAAACCATCATTTTGGACTTAATCTCTTGCTCTATATAACACCTAACCTCCTGCCAAGGTCTATTCAGCTTCCTAAAAAGTCTAGCATTTCTCTCCCTCCATATATGAGCCACACAACCAGCAAGGACCAGTTTCCTAACCACAACAACCAAAAATTTCCCTTTGGTAAGCAAACAAAACTTATGAACTAAATCATTCCAATTATCAAAAATCAATCCTGATTCCAATTTTGCTGCAGATATAATTCCAGATTCGACTAGAATATTCACAAAAAAAAAATAAATGATTATGAGAATCACACACCAAATTGCAAAAGGGCATAGCATATTACCATTTATTCCCCAGCTAATAACCCTGTCCTGAGTCTTTAATTTTTCCAAAATCACCAACCAAAGAATGAAAGAATTTCTTGGAATATTGTTACTGAACCAAACTGTTTTGCACCAAGGAACCTTTGGACCAAAAAAATTCATATCCTTCCAAACTTGTTTACAAGAAAATAACTGTCTAACTCCTTCCTTATCCCTCCAAACAATTCCATCTCCATTAGTCCTATCATTCAAAAACATAGGCCCATCCAGCAACCCCGAAAACCAATCCAACCATTCAATAGGCCAACGATAATATCCATTAACAAGAACATCACCCACTTTCGATCCTTCATCAAATCCTTTATCCATTCTCTTCTCGGAATAATCATACTCAAAATTCCAATTGGATGCCACCAATCATGCCACAATGAAGTCTCCTTACCATTACCAATACTCACAGCAACATAAGGTCTCAGCACCTTTCGAATACTTAGCCATCTCTTCCAAGTCCATTTCATGTTAACTTTAATTAAAATGTCCCAAAAATTCCTTTTCTTCACATGAAATTGATGAACCCATCTAACCCATAGAGAATTACTTTTGTTCACAATATTTCAAACATGTTTAGCTAACAAGGCATCATTCCACTTCCTTAAGTCTTTCAATCCTAACCCACCAAAACTTTTAGGATTGCACACCGTCTTCCAGCTAACACTAGCCGACTCATTTCCACTCCACAAATATCCACGACAAATTCTTTCAATTTCTTTAATAGTACTTACAGGAAGTTTAAACACTGAAGCCCAATAGATACACATAAAATTCAAAACTGAACCAATAAGTTGTAGTCTACCCGCATAAGATAAAGTTTTGAACTTCCAACTTAAAATTCTGTATTTGATTTTGTCCACCAACCATTTACAGTCCCTTATAAACATCTTATTAACATCTAAAGGGACTCCCAAATATCTAAAAGGAAATGTACCAACCTCAAATGGTAATATTCCCATCAAAGAATTCTTGAACTCCGGTTTAACACAACTGAAAAAAAATTTGACTTTTAGTCATGCTAGCATTAAGCCCCGAAACATCCCTGAATAAATCCAAAGAGTTTTTAATAATCCTCGCAGATCTAATCTGCCCACTACAAAAAACCAACAGATCATCAGCAAAACAAATATGAGTAATTTTCTAAAACCTGCACTTGCTATGATATTTAAACAACGGGCACATCTCAATATTTCTTTTGACAATGAGATTAAAAATTTCCATGACTAGAGTGAACAAATAAGGCGATAACGGATCACCTTGCCTTAGACCCCGTTTCCCTTCAAAAAAGCCATTATCCTCTCCATTAATACTTATCATGAACCATGGAGATGTCACACACATCATTATCCATTTGATCATAACATCGTGAAATCCAAACCCATTAATAGCCTTCTCAAGAAACCTCCAAGTAACCGTATCATAAGCTTTTTGTATATCAATTTTGAGCACACAATTCGGAGTACCAGACTTCTTATTGTAACCCACCAGAATATCTTGAGCAAGTAAAATTAATATCCAATATAGACCTTCCGGGTATGAACACTGACTGATTAGAATCAACAATTGAATCCAAGCATCCTCTGTTCCGATTCACCAGCACTTTACTAATACATTTGTAGAGAGAATTACAACAGGCGATCAGACGATACTCAGTGACTAATCTAGGGCAATCCACCTTAGGAATCAACACAATTCTCGTAGCATTAACACATCTAGGCAACTTCCCAGTCCACAGCACTTCTCTCACCGCCTTACAAACATCCGAACCAACAATCGACCATCCTGCCTTAAAAAAATTCGAAGTAAATCCATCTGGTCCAGGAGCACGATTCTCATTAATCTCGAACATAGCAGCTTTGATTTCATCATCCGTGACCACCTTAATCATCTCAATAGCAGTCCTTTTATCCAAACGATTAATAAACAAATTATCATCAAGACAATCCAAATCCACAAAGTGCTCTGTACCCAAAAACGCTTTGAAATGACCCAAAAATCTTTCTTTTAGGCCCAAACCCCTAACCCATCTTCCCTCTTCATCCAACACCGCAGAAATACGCTTCTTATTCAATTGACGTTTGACAATTTTGTGAAAAAACTTAGAATTCCTATCTCCTTCTTTAAGCCAATTGATCTTGGATTTTTGCAGCAGAAGCTTTTCCTCATCTTCACAAACCTCCAAATAATCAGCCAGTCTTCTAGTATGATCCTCCCTCATGACAGAATTGTAAGGATCACGATCCAACTCAACTTGCTTCTCCTCCAGCAATCTTCTTAAATCATGCAATCTCTTCCCAGAACAATTGTACATATTATACAATTTACGACATGGCTTCTTCAACATTCCAAGCTTTTGAGTAACTTTGAACATAAAACCCCCTTTTACATCTCTTTCCCAAACTTCCTTAACTGAAGGCAAAAAATCCTTTTTATCCACAACATAATTCACAAACTTAAACGGATGAAATCTTTAAGGCAAATTCAACGGAATATTCAGAATAGCCGGGCTATGATCCGAAATTCTATAAGGTTTGAACATAGCATGCGCCATAGGATACTCATCAAAAAATTTAACATTAGCCATCACTGTGAAAACCGTCAATTTCTAGTCAAGTCAAAGTCAAATAAAGTCAACAAGCCAAACCGGTCAACTCAATTAACCCTTGTAGATTAGGGTTTACCTTATGTTTACTATTATACAACGCAACATCTTAATGCAAAGCATCGCTTAGAAGTTCACGTGTTCAGAAAATCTACACCCAAATTAGGGTAAGAGATGGAACTACTCGATAAAAACATTAATACATACCCTTCGAGGGCGTATAACGCTCATAACGAGGCAAAACGGGGTATACAAACCATGCATTTCGAAGTTAAATACCCACAAAGGCCACAAACAAAGTCCCTCTCGACCTCTCTCGCTTTATCTCTCCCAAATCTCTCCAAGTATGTGAAATCTCTCCAAGTATATGAAATCTCTCCCAAATCTCTCCAAGTATGTGAAATCTCTCCCAAATCTCTCCAAGTATGTGAAATCTCTCCCAAATCTCTCCAAGTATGTGAAATCTCTCCAAGTATGTCAAATCTCTCCCAAATCTCTCCAAGTATGTCAACTCTCTCCCAAATCTCTCCAAGTATGTCAAATCTCTCCAAGTATGTCAAATCTCTCCAAGTAGGTGAAATCTCTCCAAGTATGTGAAATCTCTCCCAAATCTCTCTCAAAATCTCTCTCAACTTTTTATAATCACTGGGGGCATCCCGACCCTTGATTTAGTCGAAAACCGCTCGAAAACGGAAGTTTATGCCAAAAACAGCTTTAAAGAGCCGAACCCTCTTGAGGAGTCGAACCCTCTTAAGGAGCCGAAACCTCTTAAGGAGCCGAACGCTCTTAAGGAGCTGAAACCTCTTAAGGAGCCGAACCCTCTTAAGGAGCCGAACCTCCTATTAGAACCGAAACTATGAAGAACCGAAAGTAAGAGGATCGAAGGGCCGAAGCCAAAGCAACCGAAACCGAGACTAGTTTAAGAACCGAACCTTGCCTGGACCGAACCTCGCCTAGACCGAACTTCGCCTTCGCTCCCTTCCCTTCTCGCATGCGAGATTTCTCGGACTGAAGCTACTCTCGGCTCTCACCCACAACCGAAACCACCTCTCAGTTCTAAGCATGTTAGGACTGAACTTCGGTCTTGAGCTCAGAAATTTCGCAGATTCGCTCCTATTGTCCGGTTTTCGACCCCGACTTCGTTTTAAGCTCGTTTTTCGTGATTTTAACGCGGGATTTTCACCAAAACTCGTATTTTAACATGAGAGACCCTAAATATTCATTTTTAATCATATTTTTGGGGGAAATCCTTGTCCAAGAATAAAATCTATTAAGTTAGATTTTGGGGTGAAGTGTTGACTTTTCCATAAAGCTATGACACAAGCAACCTCCCATACCCACTTTATGGTCACCTCAGTCACCATTCATCCCTACCTAGTCAACTATTTGTCCTTTCACCACCCCTTTTCCAGCTAGATTCAATACTCAAAGATTGGAAAAATCCATATCTCTCCTCCCACTTAATACACTCTTTCTCAAGAAGAACAAACACATCTCTCTCACTTTCTCTCTTTAAAATTCGAGATTCAAAGGCTGATCTTGGGTTTTTCCTCCATATTTGGTAAGTATCTTCCTCCTACACTTAAATATTCTACTATCCTTCCTCCAAATTATGGATTGCTTACACAAATATCATCATATTTGTTCATAGAACCTTCAAATCTTCAAGCATCACCCAGGTGTTCTTGACTTGGAAACTCCTTTTCTCCATCATCCCTCCTAAGAGATCACTCGAGGTGAGTTCATACCCCTATCTTTTCATGTTTTTCTTAAGTTTTAAGGGGGGGGGGGAGGGGGAATACAAGTTAAAACACCAACAACTTGACTAAACTCAAACAACAGCTTTCATCAGAAAAGTTGAGTCCTCTTCACAGACTGTTTTGACCAACTTAGACTTAATATCTTTCAAAACTGTTTAATATGCAATTAGTTCAGGTTCATACCTTTAAAATGACTACTTGCACATCTCCATACGATTTTTCTACAATTTCTGGCGATTTTTACAAAACTGCATATCACTGTAGCAACGAATTCGGATCAGTCAGTAAATATGAACGTTTTCACACCCGTTAGAGACTTCTAATCTAAAAATCATAATAAAAATTATGAACAAACTAGACACAGTTTCTAAACCCTCAGAATTTACGGAATCAGTTTTCGACTCCGTATCATTTTTCTATAATTATTCCAAGAACAGGAACAAAAAAGATAAAACTAGCAAATTGTCAGTAACTCATTTACACCTTGTAACTTGCTGAGCAAGGTGTGTATTATAATATATATGTACATGTTTTATTCCCATTAACACAACTAACACAGTTTGGAAGGTTTTATTCCCACAGAAAAAGGTTTTACACACACACACACACCACACGTAAACTTGTTAACGTAAATTGTGAGACATTCCTCTTAGTACTCCTAGAGTACGGGTTAAAATTCCTGGTAGTTATAACCAGAGTCTCTTGTAGGGAGAACGTGATAGTTGTGTATAGATCTATATTGGGTTTGACAAACCACACCTGAGCTGCATGCAACAGCTAGACCGGCAGGTCTGGGGTGACAAGTGTCATTATCTTTTTCGACGCCTGAGAAACGTCGTGGCAAGTTCATTAGTCATAGTATGGTTATAGCGACTCACATAGGGACAATACATAAAGTTTACGGGGATTTTTCTCAAATCAAAAAGGGTTTTATGTCAATTTAAAATCACTTTTTATATCAATAAGTATGGATAGTACTGTACACTTTCGGTCTTGGAATTAAAGACAACACATCACTTTTGTAAGGAAAATATTAGATTTTTCTTGGTATCACACAATTCATAACAAAGATCGGTTTCCAAACTCTTCATCTAAAAAGCTTATGAACTCACCAACTTAATTGTTGACACTTTTTCAAAACTACTTGTATTCTCAGGGAATCAACGAAACCAGGTAATCACAAGCTTTTGAGGATGGAACGCTACCGTGTTGAACAACTATTTTTAGATCATGTTGTAATCAATCATTGAAATATGTAACACTTGAAACCATGTAATTCTTTTCCTTTATATTTATGATTGGTTGTATTGCTTTGATCACTGTTATACACGTTGCTATGATACTATACATGAAGTCCACCACCCCCGGACGTTTCCGCCATCCTTGGTTTGGGGGTGTGACAGATTGGTATCAGAGCATTGTTTATAGTGAACTAAGTATATCGAACCACATAAGATATACAAACTATAAATACATTGGGATTAAAAGTCTTTGATTTAACAATTTCAAAACAATTATACTTTTGTAAGGAAAATATTAGATTTTTCTTGGTATCACACAATTCATAACAAAGATCGGTTTCCAAACTCTTCATCTAAAAAGCTTATGAACTCACCAACTTAATTGTTGACACTTTTTCAAAACTACTTGTATTCTCAGGGAATCAACGAAACCAGGTAATCACAAGCTTTTGAGGATGGAACGCTACGGTGTTGAACAATTATTTTTATATCATGTTGTAATCAATCATTGAAATATGTAACACTTGAAACCATGTAATTCTTTTCCTTTATATTTATGATTGGTTGTATTGCTTTGATCACTGTTATACACGTTGTTATGATACTATACATGAAGTCCACCACCCCCGGACGTTTCCGCCATCCTTGGTTTGGGGGTGTGACAGATTGGTATCAGAGCATTGTTTATAGTGAACTAAGTATATCGAACCACATAAGATATACAAACTATAAATACATTGGGATTAAAAGTCTTTGATTTAACAATTTCAAAACAATTATACTTTTAGAAATGAAATAGTTTCTTGTTAAAAGTATGAGTACATACATACATACTAGTATAGTATCATATCTAGGACAATACAAAAGTAAAACGAGGAGTTGGACACTACGAGTAGAACTTGGGATATATAATAAGACTTGGGATGAATATAGCTTGATCAACTATATTTATCCGAGGTGTGACTAATGTATGCCTGGGTATGGTCGTAGTGAGCAACAAGCCTAAAAACTTCCCAAACAAGAAAATCGTTAAGAACCAAACATAACATTTAAAATACTATAGGAGTATTTTGTGGTACTGTAATTTATGTGAAAACTAAACAGATCCTTATTAATAGGTCTATAGTCACTAAGTGGATACTCTAAAGTTATATCTAACTTAGAGATCATAGACTTAGAATCTGTGGTCATTGCCTTACTTCGTTTTCCTTGTTTGGATGTGGACCTAGGGTAGGATCACTTATTCGAAGGTCTTTCATATCTTTGTTATATGTAATTAGTATGCACTATGTGATTATAGAAGTAACTAATGAGGATCAAACCCCTATAAGTATTTCTAGGGATACGACTAATATATGCTTCCTACCCCTCCTATTCTCACACGTATAACATTGCAAGATTCTACTTACCAGGCGACTCCTACTTTCCCAACCAAGGAAATGGTGGACGGTTAGGAGAAGAAACCGAAGAAGACACCGATGAAGAACCCGAGGAAAACGAGGAAGAAGAATTTGAAGATGAGGAAATCGAAATAATGACGAGTGAAGATGAAGACGAGGCAGAATCAGAAGAGGAACCGGAGGTGATCAACCCTCCGTACATAGCCAAGGTTCCCACAAACCGCTTCGACTACATCGGACCTGTGCCCTGTTAGCCAACCGTGATCGAGGGTTGGAATCGACAGCAACGACAGCGATCACCATTTGGAGACCAACGAAGTTGCTATGACCTCAACCACGGG